TATTCACTCTTGTAGAATGTCAACAAAATATGTTAAAGTTTATGAGTGTAACACCAGAGCAAGTAAACATTTTCAAGGTGTATGAATATTTTAACAACGAAAAGGAAACACCACAGTATCTGTGTTGTCATGTCTGATTACAGACTTGTTATGGATGAACACCTGCTTCAAAGTTTTTGATCGGCGTGCTCGTTGACTCTTTGCCATAGCCTTGGACGGCGCTCTGAGGCCCCGTTTTTCCTTCAGCCATTATCCAAATATATTTTTATTTTTTCTATTTTTTGAAAATGAATGGCACGAAAATCAAAGTATCAAAAATGCATCGACTCCTTATTATAGAAATCCCTCTGAGCAAGGACATGTAACAATGGGCCATTCTTAGCTTCCTGTCCTTTCCCTCTCTACGCCAATGAACATGACCTCCACCGTTTTAACAATGGGGGATCCCGCAGCATAACCATACATGCGCTTAGGCTGCTTTCATCTTTGTTGTTATATTTAAGGATGACATCCTAGCCTGTCTGCCTCTAACCATTGTCTTTAGCTTGATTATTTTCTACGCGTTGTTTAGCCCCAGTTGTGGCTCTTTGATGAAAAGGTCGCCACTCAATTGGAAAACAGTCATTAAAATGCGGTTGGTACTATTCACCGGTGTGCATGGGGGAACCAACTCAACTGAGCTGGTTAATCAAAAGTTAATTATATAATTTTCATGCAGATGAGGGAAACATTCAAATGAATCCCAACTCTACAATCATTACAAAAAATAAATAAAGAAATAATTCTAAAAGGCTATAAAATGTTCAGGGACCAGGAGGCTGTAAACAATATGAAGTTTAATTTGAGGTAAACAAAGTGAATATCCACCAGGGGGTCTGGGGAAGGAGAAAGTGAGGTTAAATCAAATTTGGAAACATAGATACCAGCAGGTTTTGTTGTCCTGATATACGTGCAATTAGGCAGGTCCTTGATGAGGACACTGGGAGGGGAGAAAGCCTGCTCTAATGGCTAATGCTTTGGGGTTTTTTAAACTGAATTTATGGGATTTTATGCTTTATGTGTAAACATTAATTATTCTCACAAAAGTACACCAAACCGAATTAAACCCATATTTTAAGAAGAAGTTGTAAAAGGATAATTATCTTTTATGAGCATGTTCTAAAATTATTGAACACCCCATGAAGACGAGCATAAACTCAATGGGACTTTCAGAAGGAAATACCCAGGACAACAATTTCCTCTGCAACTTTGTCCAAGAAGGCAAAGTATCACTTTTCAAAAATACTCAGCCTCTCCCCATTTAATGAAATGAGTGTGTTATGCAAATTGCAGACATGAATATTAAACCAATGAGGTGAAGTATCACAAATGAACAAGTATTGTTCTGGAAGTGCAGTGGAATGTGGTTTAATTTCTCTTTAATTCTATGTGCTCTTATAATGTTAGCCTTTTTCCCAGTTGTGCAGGCCAGTTTGGGTTCATTGGTGTGCATTACAACCACGCTCTAACAATGCAGGGCCTCCCCGGTGTCAGCACAGTTCATGAATCTCAGCCCCTTATGCACCAGGCGATTAGTATGGTGCTCTGTCTGTAGGGCTTTGCCAGAAAATGAGTTCTCTTTAAAACACATGCCCCCTGCTGATTCGTTTCCTTTCCTAATATGAAATTCCAATTTTTATAATGAACACCAATTTCATATACAGGGAGAAGAAAAAAAATATTAAAGTTATGCACTTCATCTGGTTTTGGATGGCGGTGGTTACCCTAAATTAGAAGAAAGCCGTCGTGGACTTTGCAAGCAGAAATGATTTAGATGAGTGTGTTTTTTTAGACGTGGGCTAATCAGCAGTCAGGTATACAAGTGCAGAAATCAGCTGGTACGCTTTTCCACATTGCATATGCATATGACTGGTGTGGCAGAAAATGGAATTACCAAAAGTGTAGCAAATTCAATTAAGTCATTAATTCCTAATAAATTGGTTTAATCACCAGCTGTTGTCATGCTAAGATTGTTGTGTCACAAGTTTGTCATGCTTGTCGGTCGTAGCTGCTGTACAAAGGCAATTTATTGAATGTAAAAAGCTATAAAAGATCCTGTTTTTTCGCACCATTTCCAATGCAGTGACCAGCTCTATAAGGCATGTTTTACCAGTCATTGAAATGAAACATGACAGCCTGCTCAGGGTTCAAAAGTTTGTTATAATTGATTTATAGTGACAATAAACACATTTTTGTGTTTAAAAAAGCAAAAATCTGAAGTAAGGGTTGACAATTCATGGCGTTGATGAAAATACAGTCTGTCTTCTTTTTGTTGCTCCTTATTTATTCAGCAACCTTTTGTTTCTGTCAAAGTGACTGGAGTCATCAGCAATCTGGGAAGATTAAAATTGGACATTTGTTAAAATCTCAGCCGGTGTGACAAGTTAAACTATAATACAGTAGAAAGGTTCGCTCATTTCAATTATTCCATTAATATAGCGTAACTAAACACAGAGTAATATACTGCATAATTAAAGTTTTCTTGTTAATCAAGCAGAGGAATACCATGGCCATTTAGAACAGAATCGATATTTCCTGAATTGTCCTACATCTGGGAAGTTCAGGTGAACCGGCGGCAAAGGTAAATGGAAGCATGCATAAATGAATGTGGGAAGGTGCCAACTCCTGCTTAAAAGTGAAATCAGCATCTTTATGAAACCTTTCTAAAGATAGGTATTAACATTGCATTTTCCTGGAAGGTGTGGCACTAAACTTTAGCCTTGATAACAAACAAGCAGACCAATGCATCATCTGAAAAGATGACGTAGACTTTTTTTAAAATCTGATTTTCATGCATTTACTATCTTTTATCAACCTTCAAAACGAGACAATCTTAGTTTATTTTTATTCCAAGTTATGTCAAAATCAGTTAGTTTACTGTCAGTTCCTAAGTGAACCACAGGATAGAGATGCTGACATAAGTTCTCCTATATTACAGTACATCACATACTCAGGTAAGCCACTTTTGAAAATCAGATGCAGTTACTGCTTTTTAACCAAAGGATGGTACCAAAGAGGCAATTTTAAACACAATAGCAGGATTTCAAAAGATCAGCAACAAACTGTTAAAATAATGTATTTAAAATGTTGACAGCCGTATATAGCACCCATATCTATACAGTTTACTAGGATAAAAAATGTTTTTAAGGGAAAATTGTCCTTTATCCACTGACTTAAAGGTATAGTGGAGGATTTTCATGAATTTAAAAAAAGACCCGCCCTCTACACTAAAAAAAAAGGCACATGCACAACCCTGTACCCGCTCCCGACGGGGAGCATCTATTAAATCTGTGAGAGAGCGTGCACGAGCCCATTTCTCTTCGTGCAAGCTTATTTTCCAAAAGAAGATTTGCGGTTTTTCCACTGTGTCAGACTCACCACCGGTGAGTGAAAATGGGGACAAGCGCATAGGACAGCCTTACGTAAACATAGATTTACGAATGATTGACAATTAGGAGGAACCCTTATTTAAATGATCCACCCGGAAAAAGAAAATCCTCCTCTATGCATTTAATCCACTGACTTGTAAATCTTGAGAATCTCTTGAATGGCTGTTTCTCAAGACTATGGTCATGGTTGGACAGTTGTTGTTTTTTTTTACTTTTTTCCCAAATGAACTTTCAACAAATACATTCAGATGCAGCTCTCTGTGAAAATCCACCTTCTTTTGCAAAGACACTTTGCTAATTAGCCTCCTTGTTGAAGGAGTCAGCTTATGACTACTCCCCACGATAGGACATGACTTTATATTATCCTAGTTATTTGAGAAAATAAGATATATTAATTCGATGAATTAGATTTAAAAAAAAGAAGGGTTAAATTATATTCTACTTGATGATTTGCACCTCTTTGTAAATAAACATCTTATATGGAAGTCAGATGAGATCTGAATTATGGCCGCCACTCGATTAGATAAAATGAATCATGCACATATTCAGTCAGGCAGCATCAGAAAAATAAAAACATTCATTAAGTAGTTTGTATATAATCATTGCCACTTTGGAGCATGGTGACTACAGAGGCATGATGTACATTAATATTGTACAATTGAAGAAAACATCAGTGATGAATTATGTATAACAGGCACTTACATTGTATGACCTAAACCTCTCCTGGGCTTGGGCACTCGCCTCTTCAGGAAGAGACACCACTCCCCCTGTGCCCATCATCTGAACATAACAGGACACATTTGGAATTAAAACCAGCGTTTGAAATAATACTTTACCTAAAATCACCAGTCAGACTTCACAAACCAGCTCTATGAAAGCATGTCTTGTAAAACATGTCTTTGATTTAATAAAGTTACCACATTTCCTGAAACTCTAACTCCTCATAAAAGAATCACTCACCCTGATGGTTGCCTCCAGCTCTCCCACGCTTCTCTTTCCACCTGGTAGCCATCCATAGGACCAGTGCTGGCACAGAGTGACCTGAGCCAGCAATGCCAACAACAGCACCTGCACCATAACTCTGCTGCTCGCCTTCATTAAAGCTGCAGGGAAAGCCAAATATGTAATAAAAACAATAATGTCACAACCCTGCAGCCCACAGATGCAGAGCTGCAAACACAAGCATCACCAAATGCAAACAGACAATCATCTAGATCAGTTAACAAAACAACATTTTAACTTCATGAACATTGACCCAACTCCAAAGAAGACTATCTCACCTCTGTGTTTGCCTTGTTAGCATGTGGTGCATTAGCCAGGGGGGGATTTTATAGGTGTTGTACAAGGCTGCTGTCAGGATTATAATCCCCTCTTTGCAGGTGTGACACATTTACGGACTAATGGGACACAAAACACAACTAATGGAGCTGGCTAAGTGCTCACATATGCTGAGATCACGGCCAGGCTTCCAGAGGCATTAAATATATATCATAAAACGTCTTTGTGATGTATTGGATGTATCTGTGAGGTGGTGCTCACTAAAAAAAGACAACATTTGGATGAAACCTGACGTTTATCTCCATTTATAATTTATTGGACACTGCTTTTAGCAAACAGTTGCTGAAAATCTGCACAGATACAAAAGGCAGAGAAACATCACTTAAACAAGATGCTTGTGCATTTGTTACAATTGCTGTAAGGCTTTAAATGTCATTACCCTTATTCGTTACTCTTTTAGCAAGAGAGTAGATTAAAGTCAGCGGTGCAACTGGCAATGATAAATCACCGCAACTGAGCTTTATATACATGAAAAACAAAAAACAAATCGAAACAACGATGATTTCAGTGTAAACCAATTATTTAGATCTACAAACACAGAAAAAAGTTTTGCATACAAACTTTAATGCTGCACAAATAATAATCACCAAACTTGCAAAAATATATATTTTCATTTAAGCAACAATGTTGAAGTATATCAGTTGGTATTGTGGTTGATATCAGTGTGTGAGTGTGTCTGCATGAGAATTAGATAAGCCTTCTTTAATGAGAGGTTTTGTTGTTGCTGTAAACTGGCGCAGCTTAACCAGTTTCTATCAATCAAATATTGAGAGTTGAGCACAAACACAATGATTTTTTTTTTTTTTTTAAATTTAAAGCTTTAACATTTAAATTTTAAAATATGTAATTTAGTATATATTCGACAGCTTAAGTCGAAAACCTTAATTTGATTTCAATTTCTTTATTTGTTTGAGAAATTTAAAAATCAAAACCTTTTATGAGCTGAATACCATTTGTCTGAAAACCACAAATGTGACGCAAATTGTTTTACTTTCATGACATTATCCAAACAAATTAACTAAATGACTTGAAATAAAGAGAACTCCGCTTGTTTGTTTTGATAGGATTTAATATCCCATTTTATCAAGATAATACCTCAAGCTTAATTTGAACTAACAGTATTTTCTTGTCATTGCAAGATAATGAGATTCCACTCTTTTTGTTGTTGTTTTGATAGTGGTTCAACTATCTGTTTTAAGATAATGAAGCTATGAATTAATTTTTCCTTAATAACAAGTTCATCATTTTATAAAGAAAGTTTGTGTTCCTTTGAAAGATATATAGAACAGAAGATATCACTGGACATATCTTCTGATATCAATTTCTAATTGCATGCCGTCCTGTTCCAGTGTCTGCTAGATTTAAGCACAAACAGGCAACCATCGTTCTACCGGCTGAGGCACTGATTCATTGAATACAGCAACTCAAGAGGGATGTAGAAGCCCAGAGGACAGCCTGCCAAGATGTATGAAAGTTGTGATTGAATATCAGTTATTGTAACGAACATTACTCTTAACTTGTCTCCTTAGCATTATTTTACAACCGAAAGCTATTTATATTTGTAATTTTTATGTAAATAATATTTATGCCAATGTTTCAGTTTAAAAATGTTGTTGTTGCTAACAGTTTACAGACCAATAACCAATAATGACCACATATAAATAGTAGAATCAGATAAACTTAAGCTAATAAATCATTAATCACTTTCTAATCTTTGCATTTTCAATCATTTTATATCTTAGAAGAATTTGAGATGTCTTATAATATTTTGCAGGTTGACCCAGCCATGACTTCATTAAGTCCTTCCATTTATAATAATTTTCAAAACATACTGAGCATTATGTTTTAGTAAATTAAACATTTAAGTGAGTCTGGAAACACTCTCAGTAGCTGTGTGTTAGTATAAGTGATAAGGCTCCTCATCCAGGGCGACATTACCTTGGGGAGTTTGGGGGTACTTCCCCGCCAGTCTCGGCTCAAATAAATGTTCTATTCCTAATTGTATGTGCAATCAATGTGATATCTTTCCATAAATCTTTCCATTTCAATCTTTCCTGTAATCATTCAGAAAATTCTGACCCACCCTCTACACTTAAAAAAAAAAAAAAAATACACATGCACAACCCTGTACCTGCTTTTGAGAGGGAACGCCTATTAAACACATGAGGGCATACACAAACTCATTTGTCCTCATTTTACTAGCAGTGATGGGAAAGGGATTCCAAACTTTACCTGTGGAATAGAATCAACAGAAGAATCAGTGGGAAGGAAGCCCGACCTGTGCTTTCAGTGTACGGCATCACGTGAAAGAATCTCCCAAAAAAACGGCTGAAACTGTGACTCAAACATATACGCCTGAAAGTGTACATGCTCATAAAGATAGCGTCCTGGGGACAAGCACGTAAGACGGCCTTACATAGACATAACACCAGAATGTTTGACGATTAGGAGGACCACTTATTGAGAGGATCCACCCAGAAAAAAAAAAAACATTCTCCACTATACCTTTAAGTCCTTTAGATTAGTTAACTTTATAAAATTCTGTGTATGAAACATAATTGTCCTGATATGGAAATTCATTTTTTATTGCTTGATGAATTTATCCAATAACAAAGTATAAATACTTGTTACATTAGATTTTTATAAGGTGTAAACAGCTTTTAGGCTTAACAACTCAAAGGTTGAGGCTGGAAATGTATGGCTTCTCTGGTGAAGGTTTTTTTTTTTTTTTGGTGCATAAAAAAGGGCTCAGCCAGGTCGCTTTACACTCTTTTTTTTTTCCTTCATACTTTTCAAGGTTGTGAAAGAGTTAACTCTATTTTCCTGTAGCAGTCTAACAAAACAGTCACATGAGGTTACTGTGAATTAAAATAATCCTCAGGCATGGGTGTGTGATGAACCTTTTACAACCTGATTTAAAATCTATACATGAAATCCCTCTTCAAATATATACCACATAAAAAACAGATATAGCAAACAATTGGCTTCACATCATTTCATTTGTGTCACTTTGTGACAAGTTTTTCAAGATTAGAACTGTGTCTAATCAACATGGCACTGATTTATACAAGATGGAAGCATGTAAACCTGGCTCAGTACAATGTATAAAAAGGATTATTTTATAAGCAGAATGTGATGCTTGGCTGGAAGGATGCATCTGAATTTTTGATATAACACATGACTTCCTGCCTGTTCCAATATGAGCTAATTGAATGTTGCTAAGCCAGGGAACCAATCCACTAATATTTATCGCCACAGGCAAAACAGAAGTTAGTTAGTGTGGTTGAATCTAATTGGAGAAGGCAGCAGCTTTTAAGTGAATCCCAGACAGAACAGAGGTACTGTAAAGCAGAAATAAATGTATATGACAATTTCTGTTTCTCTTTCTGCATAAATATTATTTACATAATAAACTACTAGCTTATTTTATCAACATGTTATTACAATAGAATCAAATACATTTCATTCAGAAAACCTAATATGTTCAGATTAGGTTGGATGTTTTAAGGAGATTAAGCACTATAGTGCTCCTGTTTCAAATACCTCCTTAATCAGCTCTGGTATTCTAAGTGCAAAATGTTCAAAGCTTAACAAATCAAAATTTAATTAAAAAACAAAAAACAAAGCACACTTTTATTTGACAGATGTATATACAAAATAACCTATTTAAAATTGGCATAGTCTGAGAAGATGTCGATAAAATCCTGGACCACTCTGTAGCAGAAGTCATATTGCTCCTAGAAAGGAAGCCAAAAAGAGAAGCATGAGTAGAAAATGTTGAAACTACATAACCATGGATGAGGTAATAAATATAAAGTGATCTTGCATTTCTCTTACCACAGTCTGAACCATGTGTGGTCTTTGCATGCGTAAACTCTTGACTGTCTGGAAAACATCCAGAAGGCCTTCGGCTTTCACTCGCTCCAAAATGTTGCTCAATGCAATAAAGGTACCGGTCCGTCCCGCTCCAGCACTGTAAACACAAGGTGCAAAATTCATAGCAGCAATGTCTCAAAATAAAAACACCAGAAGTTTCCTTTTATCTAATTTTTTTTTTCCATCACCTGTCTTACTAGCTTAGAGGAAGCGGTACCAAACTTTAAGATTTGCTCTACAACAGCGGGATGTCCCTATAGTGAGATTTGCCTCTGTTGCATTCAGAAGAACTGCTTTTCTCTCATATTTGATAACAGTTGTTATAAAAAAATATGTTCAAAAGGAATCCACAAAAACTGATTTTTTTGAATGCATTTATCTCATAGTGCTCCGATTTAAAAGAAACTATTTGACTAATCTCAAAAATCAGAAAACCTAAAAATAATCCAGATTTATTTGATTTTGAAATAAATAAATCCATTATACTTTAAATAGGAAGTGATTGCTTTCACTTTTTAAAATTATGTTTTCTTTAAGCTTAAATGTGAAAACAGCATAGAGTTATCTATGACAGAGAGTTGACATTTCCTGTCATATTTCTTAAAGTTCTCCTCTGATTGGTCAATCAGCATCTCACAAAGACTCCTCCTCCAGAACTCCATGACTACAGAGAAATGGAAAGAACCAAATTCAGAAACAAGTCTTGCACGAGATGCCTGATCAACTGCCCAAGGCTCATTTGTGATTAGGACGCAACTAATGATTATTTTGCAAATCGATTAATCTGTCAATTATTTTTTCGATTAATAATCAGAGCCAAAGATTCCTTCAATAGTACTTTTTATGAAATGAAATCAGGTGAAACTCAAACTTTTCCACTTGAGGAGTTCTGGATAGAGCATGTTGTCAGACACATTTTTTTTTTAATCTTAAATGCAAAATGTTTTTATATTTGATTACGGTCTTGGTATAAATACTGTTCTTAGTTTTAGAGCCTATACTCCAGTTAGCAATTAACTGATTACTAAATTAGTTTGATGAATATCTCAATAATCAATTAATCATGATTTATCCAATCAATTGTTTTCGACCTGGTTGTGATTAATGTTTTTGTTCGTTCTATATAATAAATATTTTTAGAACCACATTGTATGGTTCCAAATCCAAAATGTGAAACCCTCTTATATCCAAAAGCCTAAACAGACCAGTATTATTTCTGTTGCAGTGACCCAAGGCAGAGTTATCTGTTGTTGGAGCAGTCATATCTAAAAGACAGTGACAGAACTGATGGAAACCTAGAGCAGAAATGTAACTTAGTTCTGAGAAAATGAAAAGACAGTTTAAGCAGTCTTTCTTGTTCTGACCCTTGAACTTTTAGTGATGAAGACTGATTAAACTTGATTTCAAAATCCTGCTTTCTCTCCTCAGATTAGCGTTAAATATCATAAAGCAAAGTTAAGAATAAATAAATAATTAGGTAATAAATTAGAAGATTATTACTGAAAAATTCGTCTTTTTTGTATTAATTAATTAATGTTTTAGTTTTTTTTGCAACCTGGATGAAATATATAGTGTTTCAATTGAGGCAAGACAGATCTTAATTAATCCATCTCATAAATTTGTCAACTCAAAAATCATTTAAGAGGAGGCAAAGAATTCAACCTTCAGAGTTAGAATCGTGGCCCCAATTAATAAGGCTTATTATAAAGCTACAATTAACAAAACGTTGATTGAAATAGAAATGTATCGAAATGTGTCAGAAATGTAAATATTTCAGTTTCTTTACAGCATATTTAACATTCAGCTCATCTGTTTTCTATTTGACTTAAAAAGTTAGAAGGAGTAAAGGTGACCTTTATGTAATGGCACTAGTAATTATCCCCACTTAAAGAGAGGCTAATCCAAACGCCAACACTAATCAGTTTGGAAGCTCAGTATTTGACTGAGTCAATGTTTACAATGATGGTGGGATGGAGATGTGTGTGGGGTGGGGAGTGAGTGAGTGCGAGAGTGATGTGCAACTTGGAAGAGAAAGTGTAGAGAGACGTTGGGGATTGCAGCGGGTTAGCCCCATTCCCCTGAGAGCGGGAAAAAAGCTTTAAAAAGCCCCTCCTAGACAAGCGGTGATGAAGGAATAGAGGCAAGTGATGACACCATTTCCTGTCGTTAGCTCATCTTATCAGATTAATCATAGTGGGAGTCAGAGGAGATTTCACTTTGAGAGGTTTTAATTGACTGTGAATCAGTGGATTGGATCAATCCCATCGGGGTATGCTGCCTTAGAATCACTTCACCTGAAGCTAGGTTCTGATCAAAGCGTTCACAGCTAAGTCTTTATAAGGGATCACATAAATGGTTTAGGCATAGAATGCTGGGTCTACATAGAAAATATACAACTTATTGTAGCAGACAATTGTATCAACAAGAAAAAAAGCAATCTTTAAAATCAAAAGTCCAGATCAGGATAATAAACACACTAAAAGCATGCAGGGGTTAAAGAGCGTTCAGTTCTCATTAGAAGTTCTTCACCTGCAGTGTACCACTATGGGACGGTTTCCAGACTGCTGCTGCTGCCTCTGCACAGCAGCAATAATGTCAATCATCCCTCTTCCTTCGCCTGGTATTCCAATCTCAGGCCATCCATGGAAGTGGATGTGCCGGACATGTTGTGACTTTTTTTCCTGTAAAAAATGTGAAAGCTTTAAGTATTTTTCCTAATATGTTTTGAAATAATAAGATACTAAGACTTATATTATTGAGCAATATGACGCACTGGTTTGTAGGTGAGACTCATATCTCTGCGAGTGAAGGTTTCACAGCGTGTTTCTCCCTTCAACTCCACTGTGTAATCTCCAAATGTTATACTGCCCTCTGATGGCCAATACTGGAAGCACTTTTCCTGGAAAAAAAGGAATACCCTTAAACTACAAGTAACATATTTTTATAACATTTATTTTTCATTTCTGATAGATTCATTTATTTATTTGAAGGCAAACAAAGGTTAAACTACTCAATTCTTTTTCTCAAGACTAATTAATTTAAAAAGGCATCCTAACTGGGGAAAAGGTCAAACACCCCTACCTCATGCCCTAGTCTATCATATCATCTATGTAACTCCTATGCTAAAACAAACAAACAAAAAAATATAAGACAAGACACTTATTTTAATTATCTACCAGTCATTGGTCTAAGTAAAGCGCCAAGCTGAAGATGTCTGAGGGATTTCTTGGGTATACTACCTGGGTTAGTTCATCCAACAAGTTTCCCATGAGACCAAAAACAGGACTTTATTCACACATTTCTGCTTTTTAACTCAGGGGTGAGCTGGTTAAAGCTAGTTGGAGTAGAGCACTGCCAAGCCATGACACTTCCAACTCCATGTATCACAGTTAACAATAAGACTCCTTGCCTGGAAGGTCATATTGGGTTTTCATGAACCATGTCCTTTGCCCTGCTAATTTGAGATTTCATCAATGCAAAGAGTAATTCATTATCTGAGTTTTTATATATATATATATATATATATATATATATATATATATATATATATATATATATATATATATATATATATATATATATATATATATATATATATATATATATATATATATATATATATATATATATATATAAAATAACATTTACAATTTCTTAAAAAGCAAAGTTCCTGGGATTTTTAGTTGCTTTTTTTGTAATCCCTGATTAATCTTACACTTGTGCAGTACCATTTTGAGTGTACATGTAGTTTCATATCAAAAGAGGGATGACCCTACTGTATGTCCTGTGAGGACAGTTTAGGAGAGTAAGATCTTCCAGACAGCATTTAGAGGGACATTGCTTGGACAGCCTGAACTGGGCATATTTTTCAGGATGGATAATAGCTGATTTTAAATTTGTTTGAGATGTCTTCACATCCATTAAAATATTTATAAAGTGCTACAGTCTATTTTATGCAGGCCTCGGACAGCTATTTAATGTCACTATGATCTTCCCTCATGACTTGCATTCTTATATCTTAACTTATAAGTCTTGACAAATCTCTTTTAAACTGCTGAGTAATGGCTGATCATGTGCACCTGGTGTAACACTGGGGCGCCTTCAGTTTAATTTGTCTGATTGGTTAAATGACATTTTACAAAGACTTTCTAAAGGGTATTTAGTTTAAAGTTCCTTTACTCATGGTCCTTGTATAATTCAAATGAATTTAAAATCCACATAAACAAATGTGTAAGAAAAGCACAGTCTGTCTTATGTAAGTAGATATCTTAAGTGTGAGACACAAAAAGCCTACAGTACATATCAAAGAAATACATGCAAAACCATGAAGATAATAATATAAAAAGGAACATAAAATGTGCAGATTTGTTTCTCTTCAACACACTGTACCTGCTCCCTTTCTTTGAGCTCAGTGAGCATAACGATTGAGTGACACCTCCACTCCCACACCATCCTCCAGAAGTCCTCCACAGTGTGAGACAGGGGGCCCTGGGTCGCGATAAAATAGTCCTTCTGCCTGTAGCCCTGGAGGGCGGATCATCCGGTAAACAAGACTTGAGAGTGCAGCAAACCATAATATTTTGCATTGTTTGCAATGGAAACAATGAGCTTTATTTATACTTTTTATGGGAAATCTATACAAGAGGTTGGAAGGGAGCGCTTACATCAATAAAGGAGGCATTGATGTAGTCGGTGAACTCCTGTCCTCTTTTGACTGAGAGTATTACTCGGTTGAAATCATCTGCAGGGAGAAAAAGGAAAAATAAACTTTCCACAAGTGATTTATAATAAGAATAGCAGTTTAAAATAACTGTTTATAGAATAAAATGTAAATATGATTATTAAATCCATAACCCCCCCAAAAAAAATAAAACTACAAAAAAACCAAATCCAGATTTGAATATCCTGGATCTGGCTGACATGAACTGATTTGACAGATATTCTTGTACAACTGGTAGTGTGGTGCTTTGATGTTACTTGGATATGATGTAGTGTGAAACCATCCAGAGCATAAAAGCAGCCCTTACACGGGATGATCTGAAGCACACGGTTCTTCCTCATGTTCGCTGGAAGATTCCCGGTCCTCATGTTCTCCTTCATAATGCGAACGCTGGTCAGCTTCTGATGGGAGAAAACACATTCAAACTGGTGTGATCAAAAACTTTTATGTAATCAGCATAATGTAACCCAATGTCATTAAACACGGGCTTTTAATATTCTAAAGCAGACAATGGCTGAATAATGTTAGCAACTAAAGGAACTGAGGCTGGACAAAAACATGACTTTTTGGTAAAGGGGAAAAAAAAAAAGAAAGTAGGAACTGGAGTAATTCTGCTCAGTTTGCAATGAGCCGTGGAGGATTGGGCATCAAAGCTAAAACAAACTCAAGACGGCAGATGGTGGTGCATTATAAAGTTTCAACTGATCCAAAACATTCTTATTTATGATTTTGCAGCCAAAAGCTGCACCCTGGGCAACATTTCCATGATAATATAACAGTGTAGGTTGCAGGGCGATGGGCGACAATTCATTCTTCACTGAAACGTTTTAACAGGGAGCATCTTCCTTCGTACCCTGAATTCCTCCTCCAGGCCCAGCCTGTCGTGGGGAGCCCTAGTGTTGTGAAGCCTTTGCAGATGGCCCTCCAGAGAGCATACATCTAGCTCAGTGTCTCCGTACAGATAGTGCTCCAATAGAGCCTGGTAGATAAAGGAGTACTGCATCTGAGGAGGAACAGATCAGAAGACATAACAGGAGCCGATTTAGTTTTGCTGAACTATTTTTCTCTATTTTTGGCACCACAGAACATGGCTGTTTTCCAAGTTTTCTGCTTGAGTGCGATCAGAGCTGTTGGCACACGGTGCAGTGAGTCGGACAGTGTCCACACTTACGTCTGTCTGGATGAGCTGACAGCGTTGCTCTCGTATTCTGCTCACAAAGCCAAAGACGTCCACTCGCTGCTCCGTGTACATCATGTCAATCATGCTATCAATGACAATGAAAGTTCCTGTCCTCCCCACTCCGGCGCTGTGAAAAACACAAACAAGGGAAATGTAAGAAAAACATGCAACATGCAAAAACCTTCATCAAAGCATATTTACAGCCTGAGCATTTTATTTTCTCAGGTTACTAACAGTAACTCTGCTATATTCTGTCCAGATTTTATGTGCTAGACAAATAAAGTAGAGCATAATGAAAGGAGTGGCATTCCATTCTGCTCCTGCATAGTTTTCATAAGGTTTACCTTGTGTTTCTCTATCATATAAAATCCCAATAAAACATGGAGGTAAGCTAACCACTGTAAGCAGCATTATTCTGCTTATATTTAAAAAATCTGCTTACTTTAGAGCTATAGTCATAGAACTAGGAAACCCCGTACTGTGAACAAAGTAGTCAGTTGTTACCAGCAGCGAGCATATGTAGAAATGCTTCGCCTCTGAAGTCCAAACACAACACTAATAGATTTACAAGGGTCATTTGGGCAAACTGCACCTCTGGGAGCATAGAGGCTGGATTCCACAGTGGGTTGTTGAGCTTCGGCAGGGTGGGCCCCATTCATAAAGACAACACCTGTTGCAGCAGTTGCTACAGTCAGCTGCAGAATTTCTTTGGTGGGAGTTACACTAATTATTCAAACAAATACGGTACTAAAGTATTTAGATCAAGTCATTTTATTTAAATCTTTCTATAATAGACCTGAATCTAATTCCATATTTTAACTTAAATCAGTGAATCATTTTCTTTGAGTATTTTTAATTAAGGCCTTCTGTTATACCTGCAGTGCACAACAACAGGTCCAGCATATGACGGATTGACAGCTTTGACCTTCTTAAGAAATTTGAGCATTCCGATTGGTGTGAATGGCACCCCAAAGTCTGGCCAGCTGGTAAAGTGGAGCTGGGTGACCAGCCGAGGAGCTCGGACTCCATCGCTGCCCTGCTGCAGAACACAAGCACACATGAGATAGGGCAGTGTATAAATAAATCAGGTAAAGCAGTTTAACCATAAACTCCTAACTATTTGAAAAATAATCCTAAATTTGCATTTGGTCTTTTTTTTTCTCGCTCTGCTTTCAGGGAAACAATGTAATTATCAAACAGCATTTTCTCCCTTTAGCCCACTCCCAGGAGAGCATCGATTCACTCTTTGGTTGCTCGGTTTTCAGACAGCTAAATGTGAAAGCACCCGTTAGAGAACTACAACACACTCATCCTTTTTCTTTTTTTTTTTTTTTTTGAGTCAGAGAGGATTTCTGAGCCTGTCTGGCTTCAGACGGAGAAGGAACAAAGTGAATTTTGAAACGTAAAAGTTTCATAGCACACTGAGCAGACATCCAGCTTGGCAATCAAAAAGAGGGGAGAAGATTACACACACATTTTACGTGCATGGTTTTCTATGGATCAAGTAGCAATAAACGCAGTGTTGTTTATCGTTTGTTAAAATATACTTACTTATTGATGGCATATCCTGTTTCTACTGTCTGTATGCTTTTTAATGTGTAATGTCTAACATATACATTTTCCAGCCGTTCCTATTCTAGTTCACTGCAGCTTAGTTTTGCATAAAGACGTATTTTACACCACATGCCAACATCTGTATAAAGAAAAAAAATGTTTTAAATATTTACTAATTAAATCCTTTCCTAACTTTTATTTAGCACTGTACCATATATTTGAGAAACAGCTTGTAAAACATTATTCTTAACTGCTGTTGATTGGTTCAGATGACATGACATTTAATTCTTTTATTCTCACTTACATACTGAACACAGAACTTCCTGATGGTGTAGTCCACCAGCACCACCACGTCTTCAGTCGCCACGCGGATATTTCCATACATCCAGCAGCCTTTTTCTGGCCAGTACTGAAAGCATTTCTCCTACAGGATCATAAAATAAGCAGATAATTTTGAACTTGTTATAGATGCAGTCATGTTTATTAATCAAGGCAGCATCAGTACAGTTTGGCAATGTGTCATAAGGCTTAACGACGCAATACAAACCCATCACTAATTAGGCTTTTTATGAAATCAGGAAAACGTCTAAATTATCGCTGTTGATTGGTTCCATTGTAAATTGCATTATTTCCATTTATCGAAAAAAAAAAAAAAAACAGCTATTGGACTACCAAAGTGCTTACATCCTTAAGAAAAGCGTGTTTTATTTGGCGTTCAGGAGGTACACCAAAACAAATCAGTACATAAATAAAAACTGGAGGATGAGGAGTGCAACTAACAATTATTTTGCAAAATCGATTAATCTGCTGATTATTTTGCTGACTAACTTACAGAAACAGTAATTGGTCTGATTTTAAGACTGAAAGACCTTGAAAAAAAGGGGACCCTAATCACACTATTTATGTCTGACAATGTAACTAATAATACCCACAACTCATCATTTTCCTTTCCCCTTCACAATTATGCCTTGCTCTATACGTTGGTTTGCTCTATATGTTTTCTTACTTTGCTACAAAAATAAAAAAAGGTTTGTAGAAAAGTGAAAAAAGATAAAGGCTATGAATATTTACTTTATTAAAGCATTGTTTATCTGTATTTTTTCAAATCCAATTGAAAGGCAGCCTGACGGTCGATAAGTTCTTCACAGTGACGTTTTAACCCATTAACTTGATCCTCTAATTATCATGAAGCCTCTCAGGATCTTATCAACAATTACTTCATCATTGATCCCCACCGCCTCTATTTTGCCCAATCAAACTCGCTTTTCTGAGCACTCAATTATCCTTTTAAGGCTGAATTTAATTTCAATGCTAAGTGATCCTGCAGGGTGACACTTCTGCATGGATTCCCATTTAGAAGAGGGGTCAAATAAAAGATAATCAGCACTTTGGCTGACAAGAAAACAGAAAAATGTCTCGTACATTTATGATAATTAAATCTGAAGAATTGAACTCAGCAGAAATGAAAGAAAAATACCTCCTTTCTTTCTTTCAAATTTGTCAGCATCACTATAGTTGAGGTTTTCTGCTCCCAAACCATTCGCCAGAAATCAGCCACAGTCTCAGGTTTGGGGCCTAAAACAGAATCAGGAGAAATATTTCAAAAACTTATTATGGGTCAGAAACTCAAAATACTGAAACACGATTAAATGTCCCTTTACCTTGAGCTGCGATGAATTTGTTCTTCTCTTTATACCCCTGTGTAACAAATTAAGACTATGAGTTGATTGAGAGAATGGTTATACTGATTAAAAGCTTCTTGGATAAAATACTTACATCTATATAAGAGGCGTTTATGTAGTCTGAGCATTGATGACCATCGACCTGACTAAGCACCACCCTTGAATGATCATCTGAAACAGAGAGAAGAAATAAAGAGAAGTAAGTTTTATTTCTGCCACTACACTGCCTTTCCTCTTGATTTACCCATCAATAAACCCGCAACTGAACACATACTAGATCATCACTCACATGGTAAAATGTTTGGGTATCTGTTTTTCTCTCTGTTGTGATCCCTGCTCGCCTCCTCAAAGGACCCTTGGTGGTAGTAACATGGCAGTGACTACATGAAAAAATCCAGTATTCATATAATAAAAAAGCCACAGGTACAAATTCTTCTAACAAAATATTTTATAGTTATTTTCCCCCCATACTTGATATATGATTCCACAAAAAAAAAAAAAAAAATACACAGCAAATTTAGTTACATTGAACTCCTCTCTGAAGAGCTTGCCGTCGTCAGCGGAACGTATCCGGTACTCCTCCTCCAGCGAGTCCAGAGGGATGGGGAAGTATCTCTTGGACGGCGAGGGAGATCTTGGGAGTAGGACCACTGTCTGCTCTCCTGTGTGTGAAGGAATATATGGCGGTCAGACAGCAGACCTCTCCCAGTAGACAACATTACAAGCTCTCGCAGCACCTGCATAAACAAGCCTGACGACTATTAAGATTTCCTACCTCTGTGGGGACATGACAGAAATGATTTCTGGAGTCATAAACTTGGTGATTCGGCTCAAAACCATCTCGGCTCGGAATTTGGCATTTCCGCACATTTATTTTCCACTTGAAGAAAAGTTTATGTGGCTCCCTACGTGCCATGAAACCTAAGAATCCCCCTCCACCCCCATCCTAACTTCTCTAGCTTTGGCTCATGAGCCTTCCTTTGTTCATAAAGAGTTAGAATTTACAAGTGAAATAAAAGAGGGAGTAAAAAAGAAAATAGATGCATTATATTTTCATGCTCTGGTAGTTATTTTGAGTGCAGCAGGAGTACCTTGTTCCTCCAAGAAGCCATTTGGAATCTTCTTATCCACTGATGTGATTATGGCTTTCCTGTGGTTTTTAAACCTGTAACGTTAGAAAGAGGCAGAAATAAAAACCTGATGAAGGGAGCCAAGCTCAGCCAAAACAGTGGCCACAGAGGACTATTAAGCACATAAGATAAGGCACGAAGATAAAGAAATATGAACCATCTCAGAGACGTAAAGCTGTTCCTCCTCATGCTGTCGCTTTGGACTGTGAAGCCTCAGTTGACCTAACTGGTTTTGTACGCTGCCTTCCCTAAAGAACAGCTGTTTGCCCGTAAGCCACTGCTCTCCGCCTGTTTAACCCCCCCGACCCCCAAACAATAAGACTCTGACCCATTCAGTCTTATTCTTACAAAAAAGGGATATAGGGAGAAAGGTAACTATGTTTGTTTACCTCAGACAGTAAATTATGAGCAGGACAACAATGATAAGAAGCAGGGATATGATTAACGTGGATGGCAGGACATGAGCACCCTGCTGGGTGGGGTTTTCTGCAGAAAAAAAAAAACAGTGACACATGTTATTTCAATTCAAAACACTTGAACCTAATGTTATTTCAGCTGTGCCTGATTGTCGAACAACTATGGAAAACCTGATGCTGTATAAATCAGTTCCAACCTCGGAAAGTAAAAATTAAAAAAACCTTGAAGCTTTTTTACAACTTAAGAAACTTTTGCATTATAGATTCCCATAAATAACTTGCAATGAGTTAATTATTCTAATAACATTTAGAACAACTTAAGCACTGACTGCGTGATGATTAGATGCAGGGTCCCATCCCATATACTTGATTTTAGTATAAAGGATTTGTTAGTTGGTCTCTCTTTCTTTTAGTATTTTTTGCTGATAATAACAACTTGTAACATCTTATAGACTTTTTCAGTACCAAAAGCTAAAACAGAAAATATTTCCAAATAATTTATTTGGTTCTTTAGTTTTAATGGTCTTTAATCTTGACATGTATCTTTAATCTTTTTTTTTTTACGATAATATAAATGTAGAGCATTAATAATTATATAATTATGTGTTGAAAACAAATTAAACATTTTATATCTAATTGAGCTAGTTCCAGGTCTTAAATGGCCAGATTGCATTACAGATTGCACTTTTTGACTAAGTCAATTTTTTTACTGAATATGGACAGAGAGAGAAATAGGGAGTTTTATGAGTGCTGCAGAGATAAACAATGTTCAGGAGGGGCCCCAGAGCCCCAGAGCTTAAACAATAATTTATACAGCTGACATTTGTTTTGAAATGTATGACAACCAATGTAGTTGCAGTTTTTAAGACTTGTCAGAGTGAAAGAGTCATCTTACCCTTAATAAGCTGTATAAAGATGTAATGCATTTTTTGTCTTTTTAAAAAACAATTCACAAGAATTATCAGTTCTGTGACAGTGAGCATCAGATAATCTTTTCATATACACAGGGATCCAATACATTTTTCAGACACTCTCAGGTTTTGCTTTCAACTCAATTTGAGAGTTTCAACAGGGTTTTTATTTTCTGGATATTCCACATATCATTAAAAACTCAATAATATACTAATTAAGTTGGCTTCTAATTTTCCAGTGAGTCAAAGGGACCATTTTACTCCTTTTGTGCATCTGAACACTTGTCAAACCTAGAGGAATCGACCTATACTTAAATATTCTTTCAATCATATTTTATAATCTATCATAAATTTCTACTGTTTAAAGAAGTAAAAGAAAGAAAAAAATAACATAATCTGGATTAGGTTTATTTGAGAGAAAAAAAGACATAGTTAATAATCAACAAATAAAAAACAAACAAAAAACATTTGGATTAATTGATTGTAAGTATTGCAGCAAAACATAGAGCTTAGTGCAGAATTACAGGGGATATTTGAGAAAATCAAAAATCAATTTAGGATTCTTCTATAAAAGAGAATTATGCTTATTGTTACATAATCTGGAGAATGATTGATCAATTTATCTAACAGAAAAATATACTTTATTTCTAAAAGCTTAGCAGAAGTAGATGTGCTCTCTAATGTTCTACCTGTAGTTTGGTTGTCATGAGATGAATTATTGATGGCGTTAAGGGATCCAATCAGGAACAACACCATTGTGGCTGCAGAAAAAGAACAAGACAGAAGGCTTATTAACCAAAGAAACTTTAGTTTCATCCTGCAATTTTATATATCAACCACTAGAAGGAGCCAAAGTAATATAAAAGTCCTCTGTGTCTTGGTGCAACACAAACAGGGCAGAGATGAGAGCCTTGCTTTGATGTGGCTTGAGAGTGATATGTGTGAGTTTGTCTGCAGAGCATTTAGAGTGCTTCAGGGAAATCTAGTTGCAGTCGTGTTCTGTCAGGCCAACTTGAAAGTGAAGCATCAAATAACCTAAAATTCACATCAAACCAGGAAAGAGGCTTTAACCCACAGGTGACAGTAACCATGTCCTCTGCAGACCCTGTGAAGCTGAGCTTCAGTGTTCCTTGTTACAACCAATTTTATTTTGCCCTTTGTTCTTTGATGTACTGGCACTGTACTGGAACCTACTTTTAGACAATAACTCTATCTCAGTATGTGCTGGGCCCTTATTAATGCAACATAATCTTAAGGGATAAAACAAAAATAATAATTTTTTATTAATTTATCTACAAGGGAAATTGTTCCTAAGGTTTCATGGCTCTTGTACCTCACACTGTCACTTTCTGAATTTGGATGTGATTTTATCTAGTTACAAAATTTTAAAGAATTTTAACCTTTATAAGTTTCCATTCTTGCTTTTTTGTTACACCTAAATGTTTTAGATCAACAAATTAATCATAACATCAGAAGATAATCAAATAAATGTAAAATGCTGGTGTTTTTGCTTGAATTAAAACTTGTGTAACACTTGTTATCATCTTGTCATTTTAATCATGCAAATGTAGGAAGAAAAACCTATATCAGCTTCAAAAATTAGGCCAAAGATATCTGCCGTACATATCTAGGATCAGTTAGACAGACGACAATTACCTATTGGTCCATCTCTAATTTAGATTAATTATCTCCAAATGTAGAAAGCTTGTAACAGTAGTCAAACATACAAGGAGAGGCAGACCTTTAGAAATGAACAGAAATGGCATCTTGCGAAAGGATGTTAAGGAAAAAAAGCACTTCTTGGAAAAGATAATACAAAGATCATCTTATAGTTCCTGAAAATTATTGTCCTATGGGAAAATGTTCTGCAGAGACCTAAAGAAAGAAAACCATATTTTTTTTTAAATTTAGGTATTTTGTTACATCATGTATATAGCAAACAAGGTTTTAGTAACAAAACATCATAACTACAATTATAGAACGTGGTGAGAGCACAATGGTCTGGGTAGCTTAACTGCTTGTACAGTAGACCTTGATGACTTGCCATAAATCATGGAACCAGGTAGTCGACTTGGTAGAAAACTCTAAAAGAGGATATTTTGGGCCATGATAAATTGTCAGGAGTGTCTGGCAGACCATATTTTGCTAATTAAAACATTAACTTTGCCAATGCTAAATCACTAAGTAGTTTAAAAAGTGGGTGATAGCTAACCGCTAAAAATGGACTCAGGGTTACAAGATCTCACTGTTTTCAGCACAAACACCAATGAAACTACAGCATGTTAGATTCCACTCATCTAGTTGGCGGGGTTCCGCAAGGACCTTTTTATGGTACACCTTTAAGTTATTATTCCATTCATTCGGACAATTTAATATTAGTCTTCATATCACCTACATATAGATGTTTCCTCTCTTGGAAGTTTGGATTAAAACTTAATTTTCAGAGTTTTTCTTTCTTTCTGTTCCTTCCCATTTAAATGTTTGGAACACATTTCTAATTAAGTTTGTCTGAAAACACTTAACTGGAACAAGAGCAGAAATCATATCACTTATGTTGTCAGAATTTTTTACTGGTTACCTGTTTAAAAAAAAAAAATCCATTAATCTTTACTCATTTAAAAAGTAAGAGGTTTGAAGAGGTTTTCTCTTTATTCTTTTTCAGCTAACACTGTTTTATTTGTTTTGAAATTCCAGTTAAGGTTTTTGCCCTATCAGTTATGCTTTAGTTTTATGCTCCGTCACATACATTATGCAAAGAGTGTTCCATAAATAAAAATTGGCTATTACATTATCCTTGGGTCTTTTTTAATTAAGAAAGGGCAACACTGATTATTTTTAGCCATGTTTTTTTTTGTGTACGTTCTGTTCTCTAATAGGAAATGTATGAAATCAAACCATAAATTGGGCAAATGTGGCTAATCTGGCTTAATGTCTGTTGTTTAGCAAAAGGTCAAGGACCGAGTGTCCTAAATTATTCTCTGTTCCATGTTGGCTTCTCGTTATACAGGCCAAAAGACGAGATGGAATAAATCATTGGCTCAATTTATTTCTTGTGGAAATGGGTCATCTGGGGGCCTAATTTGTGATATTTTAGAAAATCTTTTACATACCGTCCCGGGAGGGATACATATAAAAATATTGCCCTGAAGCTTTTGTAGATAATAGAACTACAGTCTGTAATAATGCCCTAAAATGTTCCAAAAACAAACTGTGTCCACATAAATAAATGTTTCTGGATGTATTCAAATAATAGTGGTTTCTTCTGCCATCACAAAATGCACAATACAAAAGCTGCTATTACTCAAAGAACAATTTGTTTTCGCCGTTTACATATACAAGAAAAAGTAAAGTTGCCTACTCTTAGATAAGCCACTCTTTGCAAAGCATGCAGCTCCAACACCTGCTTCCTATTCACTCCTCAAACAGTGGGAAAGTCACAACTACTGATTTAGCCCAATGCTACTGTACAGTTCAATGCAGCAAGGCATGCTGTACATGTGGGTCATTACACAGGCCACTGTGCATCTGTTGTGTTTTTGGCTGCTAAATTATATATAATATGTGAAAAAATGAGTAAGTAAATGGGAACTAAATATATGCCAAGCACAGTTATCTCCTACTGTTAGATGCAGTTAAATTAGAAGATGATATGGCATAAATGCGCTGCAATTTTTCTCAGGGTAGAAAAAGAGACATCAAGTTTGAGTGTTGATGTGGAAAAGCTTTTGTTACACAAAGAGGAGAAATGCAACTTTTGTCATTCGTGCAGAAAACATACATGTCACAGAGATAAAAAAGGAGAAGGAAACTCAAGTTTCTTGTTTGCTGAAAAAAACAGATTGACATAGAAGTTATAGATTACCAGAAGTACATAAAGCTACCGTGCATTTTAAGTATAAAGTAAAGTATAAAGTAACATTTAGAAATTAAAGTATAAATTCAAGTATAAATGTCATGATCTGGCCTGTTTGCTCTCCCCTAATTAGTAATTCCTCTCAGCTGCCCTCTTCCCTCCCTGCCTCAATTATAATTTATTCCCCTCACCTGTTTCCTCTGGTTTATATTCAGTTCAGCCTGAGCATTCAGTGCCAGATCATTGCTTGTCTTTCTGTCAGTCTTTCTGTTCAGTTTTTATTTGGTTCATGTCCTGGATCCTAGCTGCGACTGGAAAGAGGGTTTTAGTGTTTGTCTCGTCTCCTGATCGTCCACTGTTCCTCCCCTGCGGAGTAGTGATGGGCAAGTGAAGCCTCATGAAGCAATGAAGCTTTCCAACGCAAAGTGTTGAAAAAAGTTCATTACTCGATGCTTCATTCATCACTCACTAGTGACATCTGCTGGTGAAACTGTAACAGCCTTGTTACTCAGTTGGATCATACTTCCAAATATTAGGAAATGCAATATTGTCACAAAGTTTTCATCAAACTCATGTTTAGTAAGAGGAGAATCCTATTCAATTGTCATGTTTTAATGATTAAAATGATTTGTAGCCAATCTAATCCTTGACCATCAGTGGTGGTGTTAGGTTTTCTTTTATGTCATGGACTTATTAGACAATGAAGATATGTGTTACTTTAAAGCTACAGTGTGTAATTTTCAGCGACATCTAGCGGTCAGACTGCAGACCGCAGCAACATGAACATCTCCCCCCCACCGCTTCTCCCCCCCAACAGTACGGCGAGCGTTACGGGACAAAATTTCTTCCACGACGTCCGCATCACCTACCCTCTCAAGTGATGAGGTTTGTTTACATAGATAATTTTACAGATAGTATTTCATTAGTCTGAGTAGGGTATAGATTTCATGTAGACTTAAGATAATAAATATACCCGTTGTTTTTCTACATCGTTGTGACGTTTTGGTGAGCTGCTTTGCATGGTGATATAAACAGACTACTAATTGTAGTCATTAGTTTAACAGCGAGATTGTGTTCGCTGGAAGAATATATATTCCCCGTTTACAGAGTCCAAGTCATTTTGGTGGCACGGGGGTTACAACGCGAGGAAGAGGGAGAGGACGAGGGCGAAGGCAGGGAGGCCGTGCAGCTAGGGCCAGGCGAGAGAGGGGTGCCAGCGGGGTGAGAGCAGAGGAGGAAACGCTTGAAGATCTCCAAAGGAGCCGGAGAGAAGTAACCGAGGTATATATCCAGAAAATTATTTTACAGAAAATTACTGAATCATTACCTATGAAACGTCAGGGACGTTGCTGAATAAGTATACTGGAGAGGAACAGCATCATCACGCCGCAGCATGTTATTGTTTTAGACAGGTCTGAGCATCCTGTACTCCAAAAACTGCAGTGATATTAGACAATTGTGTGTGTAGGATTAATTACCTGTCCAAGAGAAAACTGGCAACTTGAGCGTCACTTTGAAAACCTTTTTCCTCCATCAGTGACTTCCATCGTGTAAATGCCGTGCCAATGTTGATCCGTGTTTTTTGTCGTTTCTTGTCACGCTTGCGTTTATTCTCGTCGTGTTTCCGCTTCTTAGATGACGGGGGTTCGGTGTCCGCCGCTTTTCGTTGTGATACAGAGTAGGCATGATCCTCCATTCGTCTGATGTTTGGCCACACAGTGCCAAACAGTTTGCAAAGTCACTCACGCCTGCCGCCTTTGTTCACCTTTCTTGTTACTGATGCGCAGTATACCTGCTTCTTCTTCTTCTTTGGTTTCAGGCAGACTAAACGCTTCTCAGGCATAATACTGCCATCTACTGTTCAGTACCGTCTCAGTTCATCTCTCTCAACTTGCCGTAGTTATTTTTGAGCGTCATGGGAGATCTCGCAATCGCTAGTTTGTTGCCTCTGCGCTTGCCGTAGCGCAAAGATGTCAGCCTCCATGGCTGCGAGACCCGCTCCTATGTAATTATAAATAACGAATTCTAAGGCAGCGCAAATATTATGGTTAAAAGGCTGAGCTCATAGGTGATGATAAATAACATAGTTATGTATAATATATTAAATTTCTGACTTTATATGCCTGTAATTATTACACACTGTAGCTTTAATGTATTGAGAACTGAGTGACTGTTGCTGCAGACTCTGTGTACTTTGAGCTTGAAACTTGCTTCCTTAAAGACAGAATTTGTTTAAAATCATCTCTTCCTAGGAGTTCTAGTTCTGATTCTTAATATTAAGTTACACATAGAGTTTGCCTCTTCTAATGGCTTTTAGTCTGGTTTTGATGTGTGATTCTGATGCATCTCCTGATTAAACAAAAGAAAATATAGAAATTTCTGGATTTTAGGTTTAATTGTTTTTATTTAGGAATAGGACTTTTTTCACAGTTTCAGGTTGTGATCTCTCATCTCATAATACTCCCACATATGAGAGGTTTTTCTCTTTTTTGAGGGCTCCATTACAACCACTGCTGATGAAAACTGTTCTGCTGATACCAAACCACCTACTACAACCCACAAAGGAACAGGATTCATCGCGCTTTTATTTTGAAAACCGACACGCAAAATGAAGCAGTCACGTGACCAATGCAATGCGAGGCGTCGTTTGTTGCCAGTCAGGTGGTTTTCAACAAGACAACACAGGCCTCGAAGCGGGGCTTCATTGACACGCCCCCTTATTACTCGGTACAAGCCTCGAAGCCTGGCTTCAGATAGCCCACCACTACTGCGGAGTCCTCTGGGTTTTTGGCTCATTATGGGGGGAGGTTCAGTTTTTATCTAAGTAAGCCTGGCTCCTGGGTGGAGACCAGTTTAAAGTCTGCTTCAAGTTCCGGTTCCTATGTCCTTTCTCGGCTACCCTCTTCCACTGTGCCTGCCTGTCTGCACCTGATCCTGTCTGCTCCTGTGCGTGACCACCTGGTCATGCTTCTGGTCCCGGTGAGACTCTGAGCCCTCCTGGAGGCCTGTGGATGCGTGGAATTCTGGATCCTGCCACCTGTCTCTGTTCCTGTCTGATCTGGATCCTGCCTGTTTCTGTCTGTTCCTGTCTGTTCTGGATCCCTCACCAGGATCAGCTTCCACCATCACCTCTGGGACTGCAGCACTGGGGACACTCGTGGTCTGGACTGTTAAACCAGGTAAGTGACCAACACAGTTAATCTTCTATCAGTTGATCGTGGTCACTTACCTGTGTTTCTCCCCCAGAGTGTCTGAGATTGGGCGGTGCCCCGCCCCCTGCCTGCAGTGTCCGCGAGCCACAGCGCCGCTTTTGTTTTGTTTATTTAATAAACCTGTTTGAACTTTCCTACTGACTGTCTCTCCTGAATACTGGGTCCATCTGTCCGCGATTCATGACAATAAATACCTCATTAATCTTCATCATTGAGTCATGTTAAAATCCAACATGTTTATATTTTACAGTTGGACATTTTGTGATAGTACAAAACAAAGTCATAAATAACTGTGGAGGAAAATGTAAACATGAATTTAAAAATATTCAAAAATAAAAATCTGAAAAGTCTGATGCTCTCTGGTGATAACTGAACCTAAATATCATAATGCAAAAACTATATATGCTCCACATGGTGGAGCACAGAGGCAGGTAAAGACTGCATCATCACAATGGTGAAACATGTTGTTCACACCATTATGGTACAGATTTTTATTTGAGTAGAGAAAATAGAAGAGAGTGCGAAATACAGGACATTCCTTTGAAGAAACTCTCTTGGAAAGGGGAAAAATATTTTAGACTGATCCAGTTTCCAGCAGGACAACCATCTTAAATATACAACCAGATCAAGATTGGATGTTGTAAATCGAAGCATTATAATGCATTAGAAAGGGTCCAGTCAAAGTACAAAGCCTAATGTACTTAAGACACCGTCGCATGACTTGAAAATAGCCGTTTAAAAGATGTTAACCCACCAATCTGACTGACCTAGTGTTTTACAAAGAATGGGCAAAAATTTAAGTCGCCAAATTTGCAAATGCGTGCCTGCTGATTCACGTGCATGGTATATATGCAGATGTATATAAAATCCATCCATCCATGACTTATCTAAGACAGGATGATAAAGTTCACAGTTTCAGAAGAGATTAAAAAAAAACACCCTTACCCAAGCAACATTCCTATTAGGGGAATCTCAAAAGGTCAAAAGATCAGAAGGTTTACGTAGTTTATCTTTTAATGTCTGGGTTTGCTTAGAAAACTTGAAAGGGACAAAAAACCCCTCTAAAACAGAAAGGACATGATGCAACCTGACCAGGTACTCAAAACCATTTCAAGCTAATTTCCTTGGCTGCAAAGATCTCTTTCTAACATTGAGCCCTGTTATAAAGAGCAAGCTTAATTTTAATAACCTACTCGTACACAGAATCTTTTTTTTGTGATGTGTAAATCTCATGCCAATAGGGTTAGGATCAGAAACTATATGGACCAGTAAATTAACATCTCCTCCCCACATAATTGCCACCTTCATGTGATGGAGGAGACTGGGTAAGCAATTAATTTTTCAGTTAGTGTTTTCTGTCCCCAGTAAGGTCTACCATGACCAATTAGCCCCAAGAGAGAGATTGGCAAACCTTGTTCCAAATAGAGAAACTGGAACACTCCCTTGCAAAAGGAAATAAAGGATGGGCATTGTTGAAGTTAATATTAAGAAGCCACAACAAGCCTCTTCAACCGGAGACACCACTAGGGAGAGATGCTGTGGATTGTTGTATGAGAAGGGCAGCAGGTGAAAATTAGAGCCTTGACATGCTGAAGCAACTGAAAGGGCATTACTTTCTCCAAACTCAACAAATCATAACTTAAGTTTCATTTATTGAACCTTGCATCGTGCCATCCAGCTAATGCCCAATCTGGAAATGCAAAACTCCTTGGTCAACCTCTCTGGCTATTGATTATTTAAAGCTGATGCAATCTTCTCTGAAAGGCATCATGAGTTAAAGATAATTTTGTGACACGACATAAAATATGCAGTACCCACAGGAACAGATGGTGTTGCAGCAAACTTAATGATTTATACAGGAAACCTGTCAGATCCAAATATTCATGCATCCGGCCTGGTTTTGCTTCCACATGTTTATTATCTAAACATTCGCACCAAGCTAGAGAAGAATTCACATTTTGGATGTTTTGTGTGTGTCATGCCTCTACAGTTTTCACAACTGTGCATCTCTTTCTGGCATACTTGTTAATATACACCCACTCAACACAACTACTTCTCTCTCCATGTATGAACAACAAATCTTAAGAGTTTCTTGGAGAGTTAGGCATAGTTTAATTCAGTCTAAAGATCCACATAAGGCTACAACAAATGCAACCCAGTCCAGAAATACATAACAAAACAATATATAGATGCACATTCCTGACAAATACATATACTGGTAGTTTAAGGCACATCCTAACACAGAGAGTTGGCGTGCGGTATTGTCCCTGACTTGTTCCTCTTCCAAGGAAGGTCTCTATAGATCTTGAAAATGCATGTATTTATAAAACATTCAGCTACTTCCATCAATAAACCATATAGAGGTCATGTAGTGGTGATTTTTCAGTTGTGATCCCTGCTCTGCAACAAGACAGGTGATGCTGAAGAAGAGCACTAGTACAGGTTTCTATATTCCAATGCTACATAAAGGATAATGTATACAGTATATGTGTAACACCATCAACAACATTTTCTGACAGCAGCAAAATATATCAAACAAGCAGAAACATCCAGACAGACAAGCTTTTTTACAGATCAGTCTTGCTTCAAAGACTGATATTCATTGGATATATGTTTTTTATGGAACACAAAGAGACTTTTAAAAAATCTAATTTTCTGTTTTGTTTTCAGCAAACTGAGGAACACAAGCATCAGGTGGGGGGAAAAAGATAGATGCAAGATATATCCAGCTCTATTGATGTCAAGTCCAAGTAAGGTTCAAACAGAAAGTGTGGTGGCAGAGTGAATGGTGTAAAGGAAGAGGGAACGAGGTGGAAATTTCTAGAATTTATGTAGAAAAAGCAGGTTTAAAATCTATAAAATATAGAATGAGCCTGTTGATTTGATATTTATCTCCAAATGAATGTTATTATAATCTCAATCAAAGGAATTCAGCTGAATAAGTGAGAAAATAAATATGTAAATAGGATGAACAAACAAGTCACTTACAGTTTCGATTAAAACCTCCGTGACCCGTCACTCCATAGCAACTATTGGAAACCAGCTGCTGCCTTGCTGATTTACCGAGGTGTCCTTTTCTCAATCTTCATCACATTCTGGAAGTTATCCGTATCAAATGGAAATGAAGAGATGAGCCAGGATATTTGCAGCTCTGAATGATCTTCAAAGTTCTTCTAGCTTTAGATTGCCATTAAGACAGAGAACATCATAGAAACCTGGGGACAAAAAAAAAAAAAATACAATTATAGGAAACATAGAAATGAACCACAAGAACTATTTTGGAAATTATGCAGCTCATTTTCTCCAACTTGAAATAGTAAGTTATAAAAATAACCACTTATTTAAAATGTGGGAATGGGTTATAAAACTTTTCTTTGTCACGGCTCCCCAAACAGAATTATTTTCTGAATGGGGACCCCTTTTGCAAACTAACAGACAATGCTACAAAATATGTAAACGAAAATACATTCTTAGACTGTGTTCTTACTTTTATTCCAATCAAATTAGCACTGCAGTTGTTTGAAGTGAAATTTATGACAACACAATCAACATTGTATTATATTATCACTTAAAAAAACATTTTAAATCTTGAAAGAATATAAAAAAAAGAAAATAATCTCTCTTAAAAGCGTGTGTGTTAATGTCTGTCATTGACATAAACATATCATTAACCACTTGCAGAAACGCTCTGTGCTTACTATGGATTTCCTTTAAAGTTGAAAACCCTCCTTAACTCGCTAATGTCAGTAGGAAGGAGGCATCAGACAAGTGGGTTGTCGTAAAAGAGAAAAGGCACCTGAATGACCTGCTGGTGGGATGGTCCCTTCTTACATGGTTAGAATAGAGAAGAATCTAAATTTTCAATTTTCCATGTTTTCATATAAATAAAAGCAAACAATTTGTTTAATTTCTAATCAAGGCTACAACTACAGTTCTATCTGTTTTTATGTTGTATGGTTATTGTTGTGTGCCACTGTATACCTGATCTCCCCAAACATTACAGCCATGAGGCCTTATCTATAATGATATTAAATAACATACTGTATGATTGTACTCTTTTTTCCAAATTGTTATCTTTAGATTAGAGTTCTAAACCTATAGGGTCTAACTGTATTTTATTGAGCGGTTTCAGAGTAAAGGGTGCTGAAAGTAAAAGTATGTCACACTTCGAGAGTTAGAAAAGCACCTATCGTCTTATGATATTCAATAACATAGTTTTTTTTTTTCCGTAATTAAATTAGTGGGGTTTGTAGATTCACTAAGACAAAATGTGGAACATTTTTAACAATTAGATTTTAAAGTGCTTGTTTTTAAAACATTATCTAAGATTAAATAAATAATCATTATTAAGTTTGTAGAGTCTGTTTGAAAGCAGGCTTAGCCCTTTGAGCCTCATACTACCATTTCATATTCACCAGAATGAGGAATAAATTAATAGTAGGTGATGGAACACTGTAGAATTAGGGATGTAAACAAATAATCAACTTATGATTAATTGTCAGTAAAGGGTTTCATCCATCCATCCATTTTCTTACACGCTTGTCCCGAGTGGGGTCGCGAGGGGTGCTGGTGCCTATCTCCAGCAGTCAATGGGCGAGAGGCAGGGTCAGTAAAGGGTTTATGATATGATTTTGTTTCTAGATCTAATTAAAAATGTCAATTATCTGTTGTAATGTTAGTGTCATCCAGTAGAGGGCAGTTCTGTATATTCTTAAGCACAGCCTAATAGTCATTTGCAAGAAAAGTAATGCCAGTGGAGAAACTAAAAACATTTCAGGATTATTTACTCTTGCTGTTTTCGATTTTGGCGGCTGCATCCTCCGAAGGACCAATCCTACCTGGCTTTGAAAATAAGGAGGCCTGAAGAGTTCAGCTATAGAATCAAATAGGTAAAGCCTTCCCCAGCTGTCCCCACCCCTCAATCAGCTTAATCCCTGTCGCCTAGCAACTGTGACGCTTTACAAACAAAGCATGCAAAGAATGGATGCAGAACCTTTAATTACTGACCTGTGTGCAGCAGTACTGTTGTTGCAAATATCAGATTCAGCCAAACCCATTTGCAGAGGGACAGATAAAACCTTTCAGTACACCAAACATTACCCACGACAAATCTGATTCACTACCCATTTAAATGAACAATTTTCATTCATTTAAAAGGAAATTATTACCATACTTGTCTCATGTTAGGGTTTACTAACAATATTAACCACTGTTCCATTTTTCCTCTGAGCCAGAGCAGCCGATGTTCTGTCAGATCAGCATACCCCGTCAACCCAGCATACCCATAGTCGATACGCATGTGCAAGATGTCAGATATGCATACGTTTCACACTATAAGTGGAAGGAAGTCTACTAGGCTACGTTATTTATGTGTGACATGATAAACAAAAACTTTTTGCTAAAGGTAAACACACAAACTTACAAGACTAGCAATCCGAAAGTCAAGTAGGCTAGTTCATTCATGTGTAATGTAAAAAACATAAAAGGTTTAGTCCAAGGTAAACAGGATTTAAAGCTAAACTGCTTTAAACACAGACAGCCTCGCTTTTTTGTGTTTGCTACTTCCCATCCTGATGTAGCAGCTAACCTGTCAGATTGCCATACAATGGTTAAATGTATGCTGATCTAAACAGGCTGATCTGCAAACGTAACAAGTTTAAATGTCCCTTTCTGCATGAGGGCACATGCTTATTACTATTGGTATGCTGGTCTAATGGGGTATGCTGATCTGACAGAACAACGGCTTGCTTAGACTCACAATGAATCATGGAATACCCTAGGACATGAAGGATACACCAGACCCGTCCTCCCAAATGGGCAAAAAGAAGGCTACATATGTCGGCCGCATAGGAAGGCGCCTTCCAATCCGGACAGGCAGCGGCACGCTATGATGTAATCGGCCGACGAATCTGGCCTTCAGAGGACGCAGCTGCTGGATTTGAACACAGCAACAGTTTTAACAATGATGCACTTTTATTAGTAAATAAAAATACTAAAATAAAAATACAGTAGAGTTGTCACGATACTAAACTTTTCAACTCAATACCGATACTAAGGATAAAAACAACGACTCCAAAATTTCTTTTTTCATGAATAAACAAAATACAACAAAATAGATAAATAAATACAATAAACAATATTTTGAGGTTGTATGCTGTGCACAATATTAAGCAAGCTTGATAAAAAAACTTATAAAATTAAAATTAAGTGTTCCTTCCTTGGCTATGCTTTGCACACATAACAATGACACTAGCCAAACCAGTTATAAAATAATTCTCAGTAGCTGCACCTGTTACAGAAAAAAGCATTTTCCTCTAATCTGCGCATAAAATGAATGACTGTTTAGGTGCCACTGGTGGTAGCACTGTATCGATACTTTTGAAAATGAGTATTGTATCCGGATACAACTTTTCAGTATCAATACTTTTTTGAGTATCGATACTTTTGACAACCCTATTCAACAGATCTTAAGCTATCACCTAAGTAGCGCCTATTTGAAAATGCTGCATTGCTGAATATTAAAACTTCTCTGCTGTGCTCTGAACGTGAGGATATGATGATAGAAACATTGAGGGTATTACACAGAGCATTTTTAACATGATAGAAAAAGACATGCCAACTATAAACACTGTAGGTGGACAAGGTTTTGTTATTTAAAGCACTTAAAGGAATAGTACACCCAAAACATGATTAGCCTTCATTTTCTACTCACCCCCATGCTGAACAACACTCTGGAGTACTTTTTTGATATCTCAAATGCATCTGGAGATCTGGGAGGCTTCTTGCTGTCTGCTGACATTCAAATAATGGAGGTCTATGGCGCCCGAGACAGAAAGGTCCATAAAAGTCCACAAAAAACGTGTCAATATTCCTCCATACTGCTCGTCCAATGTATTCCAAGTGTCCTGAGTGGGTAGCCTCCAGAATTTACTCGAAACGAAGTCATTTATAATGTTTTTAGAGCATAAACAGTAGTGTATAGGATTTCCTGAAAGCGCGCACCGGCGCGTTCATGACGCTACGGAAGCCGGCAGACCTAACCAGATGAAAGTGCGCATTCAGCGTCTGCTCTGCCAATAATGCAAGCATAGAAGAAGAAATGTGCTGTTTACCTGTGCAAAGAAAGAAACAACGAAAGAAAAATGTCTGAGGACTTCAGTGTTGAGGAAGAGCATGAGTTCTTTGCCGAGCTGAATGCGCTGGTTTGGTCTGCCGGCTTCCGTAGCGTCGTGATCGCGCACGTGCGCGCTTTCAGGAAATCCTATACACTACTGTTTATGCTCTAAAAACATTCTAAATGACTTTGTTTCGAGTAAATTCTGGATGCTACCCACTCAGGAAACTTGGAATACATTGGACGAGCAGTATGGAGGAATATTGACACGTTTTTTGTGGACTTTTATGGACCTTTCTGTCTCGGGCACCATAGACCTCCATTATTTGAATGTCAGCAGACAGCAAGAAGCCTCCCAGATCTCCAGATGCATTTGAGATATCAAAAAAGTACTCCAGAGTGTTGTTCAGCATGGGGGTGAGTAGAAAATGAAGGCTAATCATGTTTTGGGTGTACTATTCCTTTAATAGAGCCAAGTTTTAACATTTCTCTGGAATCCACCAGAATTCACCCATTTAAAAGCTATGCTAATGGCACAAAGTCTCTTCCGAGACTGATGGCGGAATTAGGCAAAACCCAGAGAGCTTTAACACAGTTAGCTTTCACTTTATTGAAATGAAGTGGTAAATAGTGTGAGAGCATGTTAGAGTGAAATAACCTCTCTATATTTACATCTCTGTACATTGAAAATCATTAAGGTTTCACATTTATTCATTTTTTTTATTAAGTAACCTAAGGTTTCTGGTTTTTTATATCTTATAAGTAAATGTAATAATGTGTAAGATTTTTTAGTTTATTTGGTCAGTGTCTAATATAGATGGCACAATAAATTATTAAAATATAAGGATATACTATCTTTCCTTATTCAGGATATTGTAAAAAAAAAAAATACTTAGCCCTTTATGTTATGGAAAAATCCTCTTGATTCAAGGAAAATGGCTTCTAATCAGTTAATCCTCATATGACTAATAAGATCAAGTAAGAGTACGTGAATTAGTAGAGTAATCGAGATGACTCAACTGACCTGAGCAGTGGGAAAGGGAATTAATTAACTTAAAAATACGTAAAAAGCACCAATTTCCCCTGTCTGAAAACAGCTTT